CGGTGTGGCATACAAATCTTGTTCTCCAGATGTTAGAAACCAATGTTCGTTTGGCACAGACCCCACAAATATTCACATCATCATGACCTTAATATTTTTTTTGTGAAATAGGACCAGTCCCACACTGATCGTGTCGCAGTATCTGTCAAAATAATTGCAATATGATTTTTTTTACCATAATGTCGAGCCCAACAATCTAACTTAAACTAAATGTTCAAAAATGGCAAAATGTCGTAACATGTTGAATTGAATATGGATTGAATATCGTAATGCCAGATTGTTGCCATTACACAGCCCTATTCAATAGAAGGTCTTTCCTCCCTGAACGTGTCTGAGGACTTGCGCAAAAAAAAAGCCTGTAACCTGGTGAAGACCTACGAGATCTGCACTGCCCCCGCACTTATCAGTCAGTGTTTGCAAGCTAGCATGTAACTTGGTTGTTCTTTGCCCACCGGTTAATGTGACGTTGTGCAGGGCAGACATTTCAACTCGTCATAGTGGGAAAAGCATGTTACTAATAACATTAACAACAGCTCTGTGTCGCATTGAGTCATACCAGTGAGCCAGCATGAACAATACCGGCACCCTGAAACTGAGGCAGCTAAAGGGAATTCAGCCATCATTCATTTTATTAGTTATTATTTACACCTGGGATTTTCCTGTCCAGCCATCTTCAGTGACAGAAGTGTTCGAGAATCTGAGAAACTCAACTTCCTGTCCCACCACTGCATTACATTTCCTTTGTCAGGTTTTCTTCAAATAACTATGGAGCTTGCAGGCAAATATTGCATCCATTTGCATAAAGTTACAGTTTCCCCACTTTCAACCCCTCCCTTTTTTTTCTCTTCTTCTTGCTAAGCAGGTCCACAACACCTGCCATCCTACAACACTAGCGTCTCCTGGAAAATGATCAGTGCGGAACGCTGTGTCACACTGTGTTCACTGTGACAGCTGAAACCTCTCAGCGATAACAATGATTTCAAACTATGATACTACACCAGAGCACACATACATGTGCGACTCTCTGATCTCGACCAACAGTTTAGTCCTGGAACACCTAGGGTCTCATTCACTATTACACTTCTGTCCCGTCTGCTATTAGCCTGGTTTCTCTTATTTCAATCATTCTGTGCTTCTCAATCTCATCCATCCCGACGACTGTCTTATTGTTTTGCCGCTCTCCTTCAATCTATATCTTCCTGTTCTTTGCTAGGGCCTGCTTCTCTCCTCCATCTTCTCTCTTCCTCTCTATTTGCTTTAGAAATACCTCACCCAGCTTTCACAATCATCATGTTTACATTAGGCCCTCTCTCTCTCTCTCTCTCTCTCTCTGTCCCTCCTGCACCCTTCCTTTCCTCCACTAAACTCCCCGATTCACCCCCTCTCTGTCCCTCTTGCGTTCTCGCTTTCTTTCTTTCACAAGTTTCATTCAGTGGTTATGTGTTTCAACTGTTCCACCACAAACCCTAGTGAAGTTTTTATACACATGCTAAGGTCACCTCATCACGATATTGCGATGATACGCTGAATCAACTTCTGTATCAAATGAATTTGTCCCATTCACGTCTGTGGAGACTCACCATCAGCGCTGCCAATCAGAGCTGAGCGTGGCTCGCTTCACTTCTGTTCATGCAGCCAGCCCTCCATGTAACTGAACTGTGCATCACAGCAGTGGCACTGAGCTGGCTGCTGGACACAGGCTCACACTTTCTATACTGAGCTGCTTTTGTTAACAATGGTTAGGGGAAAGAAAAAAAGATGAGACACAGAAAGGAAATCTGTGCCGCTGTACACACTGTAGCAATAAATAATATGCCAATGTCAATCAAGACTTGTTATAAAGGTAACAAGTCACAGGATGCAATGGAACCTTTGAAGATTCCATAAAGCCACTCACTGGTCACTGTGTTTACCACCACCATCAGAATATTACTTCACACTGTTTTTACTGAGTTCAGTTTGAGACAGAACCTCCTCTGAGATTTCATGTTAATGCTTTTTCAGTTGGACTGGCAGACCTTGACCCATGGCCATATTCCTCACTAAATTACAGAGCATCTGATTAGTTGAACATATTGGTTAGGTTCAGCTAAGAGACTCTCAGAAAAAGAGGAAGAGGGTTGAAACAAGGTTCATTAATGTTATAGCCTTTTATAGTAAGGCCAAATGTTTGTGTGTGGCACAGTTGAGCTTCTGCGTAGGAATACACAAGTTCTACAGTTAAAGAAAAAGGCTGACAGTAGACTTTTTGAGCTGGCTCTTTTTAATATGACTAAAACAGGGTTTTGTGCAGCCGCTGTCCACAGCAGTGCATTGCTCTGATTCTGTACTGGTACTCCTGTCTGCTTCTCCAAACTGGGGCGTGCTAACCACCGTCTACTGTAGGTTATACACTGACCTTGGAGAAATACCTCATGCAACCTCACTTCAAATAGCCCACACGATCCCTTTAACATGAGCCTAGTTCTCATAGTTCATAATCAGAAGAACAACGTGTAGTGAAATGTTGCCTTCTCAAAAGGTAACTGCAGAGAATTTTCTCTACTTCATTTTTATTAGA